AGAAGGCTTAGGCTACGTGTAACTGAATCTCTACACTCTTTTAAGTCTGACAGTAGCCACAAATATTAATATTCACTCCTGTGGCTTGAGGCTCTTGAGATTTTCCGGTAAAGCATTCCCTGTTGCCTCGGCAAACTCCCTCAAGGCTTGAATGGCCTTCTCTTGCCGCACGGCATGCCGCTTGTCCTTATCAATTGTATGCACTTGTTGCAGCCTTGCCAAACCATCGCAGCAGCCTTCTAGAGCTTCACTTGGAGAATGCAGCATGTAGTCATGAAGCAGAACAGGCGTAGACAATTGCAGCGCTGCATCCCAAGAGTACAGCGGTGGAGCAGCCGCGGCCACAACACAAGAACCGATGTAAAGCAGACACCTTGTGGTGAAGATCACGGTCATGACGAACTAACTGGCCGCGTCGTACCAATCGTCAGGAGCCAGTTGTATTGCCGGAGTGTAGAATCCACAGAAAAACATCACCCCCAGCAGGATCACCACCCTTGGATCTGTGCTCATTGTGGAAAGGATACCACTGATGCCTCCAACAAGAAAACCATATGTAACGGGTTTCTTTCGACCAAAGAGGAGGTACAGAAGAGACCTCTTGTTAGACAAAAAAGAACAAAAAAAAAACACAAAAGCTTACTTGTTAAGAGTGAGATCCCTCACTTCTGCAGATAACTGAGGGGTTCAATATATGGTAGCTCATATGCAGTGAAGCAGTGATTCACAAGAATCATCAAAAACTGGCGCCGTATAATCCAGTGGCGTCTAAGATCCCAGGCCTTATAGATATCACCAAGTTATCCGTTCTTTTGGGATATGCAGTTATATACAGTCCGATCCAATATACGATATACGATCGTATCCATATCCACATGGGCTGGATTCTCTGCCGAGCATATGACTATGTCAGCAAATGATGATCCTTAGGGCTGTCCGCGATTGCTCCTCTGGCAAGGTAAGCGCATTCTACGGTTCACTGGCTCACAGTTTTGATCGCTCCCTTACCCTCCATTTTCAAGAGCTCAGCAGCAGAAGCTCCCGCAAGGTAAGCGCCTTGGCACTTGGCAGTGGCTCAATGGCTCATGGTTTTGATTCCCAGCTGCAAGCTTGATGGGGCCGTGGGGTCGGGTCGGGATCATCTTTTTCCCCACGAACAGGTGATCTAGTGTCCAAAGCCTCCGCAAGTCCTTGTTTTCTAATGTTCACTGTTTTGACAGCTTCAGATTGCAGAGAGATCGATTACTCTCCCGGGAGGAAGACTGAATGGCAAACGGATTGTAATCACTCCAGTTCATCGATGAGTTTGGACCTCGGCCATGGCGTCTACAAGGTACTTTCTTCTTCCTCTCTTTACTCCATCAGTTCCTTCTCCTTTTGAGCGAGCTCTAAAAGTTCTTCTCAGAGCCGAGCGACAATCCCTCACATCAAAAGGCTAAAGTCTTTCTTTGGTTGATCTGGAGACTAGGCTTTGCAGTTGAATTCTCGTCCGTGTTTCGCCTGCTGTGGATTATCACTTAGGACTCACGACGAATAACCAAAAGGCCTTGGAAACATTGGTGCGCAGGTGATCAAAGTTTTTGGAAACTTTGAAAGCTAAAGTTCTTGCTTCCAACAAGTAAAAAAACTGTCTACTTATTCGTTCAGGAGGATTCCAGCTCTGGAACCCACGCTGGAGATTTGAAGGAGTGGAACGCATGGACGTTTTCAACACCATCCTCTGGGGGCTGTAAGTTTGGTTCCATCATCTCTAAAGTCTTTTTTTTGTTCACTTTTTTCTTCCAGATCTTTTGGAAAGCTGCTCCAGAGCATCTGGCATAGCTCAGGTAAGAAACGATCTAAGGAAGCATCGACCTCTATCCATCCTGGCCTGACCAGCAGCTAGCAGGAAATGATCTAAGGAAGCATTGAGCTCTATCCATCCTGGCCTGACCAGCAGCTACCAGATTCAAGTCTACACAGATTGTGTGAGCCCGAATAATCGAAGCTTTTTACTGTTCCCTAGGGTTTTCCGGGAGCAAGCGCGGAATGGCGTCTCTCGAGGTAAGAATCCTGGCATCCCATTACTTTTAACAATCTCTGGTTTAGGAGCCTTTGATCGTAGTCTCCGACGCGATAGCCAGTCTCCCGGACGCGACAGCGAGTCTCCAGGACGAGGTAAAGCATTTCTTTATTCCCCATTGTCTCATTTGTGGTTGCCACGTCAGCTCCACGTTGTGCCACATCAGCACCACGTCGTACCACACCAGCGCCAGCAGGACGCGCCAGAGCGACACCAGGTAAAAAGCACCTTGATTTCTTTTGTATGAATTTGATGTGCTCAGCACCAGGACGAGCGCCACCAGGAGACGCTGATGGAAAAGGCATTCAAGGTGATTTTGCAAGTTTTGTTTTTTTTGTTTCATGTTTTTGTTTTTGCTTTTGTAGATATCAGCTGTCCTTGCATCGGTAATTCTGTATGTCATGCCGGTTTTCCTCGCGAAAACAGCGTTACTCCCGGGGACTCAACTAGCCATTTTATATGGCACTTCGAGTAATTGCTTTTTTTCTTTATCTTTCAACCACTAAGGTTTATAAATTTTTTTTTGCAGCTTTGAACTGCATAAGCTGGTTTGTCTATGGCCGAATTGAACAAGATGTGGTGGTGGAAAACGTGAACCTCTTTGGGCTTGTAACAGGGCTCATGTTTACCGTGCATACTGTCGGCGATGTTACCTGGTGGCCTGTGCTATCGCTGGGTGGTTCATTCGTGTGGCCGCTTCTTGTTGCAGTGGCTTACTACGCTTTTCTCTACGGGTTGTACGGGAACTTCAAAAAGGAGAAAGTGTGCTGCTGCGAACTCACAGTCATGGAGTTTTCTGGTGTCGCCACCACTGTCCTTGCTTCAGCGGTGCCCTTGTGCTTTCGTGCTGTAAGATTGTGTATTCTTTTGCAGTGGCTTCTTGAGAGTTTTCTTTTTGTGATGCAGGTGACGATGATCAGCACTACCAGCAAAGCCACAGGGTCTCCTCTCGTTCCACTGATGGCGACGGCATGTAACATCCTGTGGGCTGCTTACACCCATATGGCAAAAAAGAAAGCCATGCGTGTAAGTATTCGTTCTTTCGTACTCCAACTAAGCTATGAGCTTTTGTATGTAGGCTGCTAGCATTTCAGCAGCTCTGCTAGCTGGAGCCCTCTCCATCCTCTCGGTGAAAGAGAGGATGCTTTGACATCATGCTTACTTCTCAGCTCACTTGCGTCACACTTTTTTTCTCTACAGAATGTAGAGCTTGTCGTTTTTTTGGAACTCTACGCGTCCCGTAGAGTTCACGCGAGAATAAAACGAACGAAGTCTTGACGCACACTGCCACGTAAGATCTCGCATGAATCGGTTCTGTAACGTGGCCAAACTGTTGAAATGAATCGGAGGAAACCAAGTAACTGTCAAAGCTCGGATGGAGATGGATAAGCTACAGGATAGTTTTTACTTATCCCATTCTGCTGTCCATGTCGCAGCAATCGGGAACGCTCGTCAAGTGGACGAGTGGCTTTGCCATAGCTGAGAAGGTAGAGTAGTCGCCTGCCCATTCGTTTTTCCATGTAGGCAGACATAACGGCTCGGGTAAGGAATACTCTTGAGAAAAATATTCACTTCCGATTGTTTTCTTTGTTTCCAGGATTATCTGGAGATCACGAGAGTTTCTGTTCGTGTTCGGATAAAGATGGAGGCTGATGCACATGAACCAAATTCACTGCGTAAGTACAAATAGGTCCTCATGAAATAGCTGTGAACGGTTTTCCTTTTCTTTACCAGTGGACTCGAATCGGGATCCCTCGGACTTGTTTTCCACAGCATGCAACGATGTGTTTTTGGATTAGCAGTGGATTGGAGCAAGCTGACACTACGGCCATGGCAACGAGTATGCTTGACAACCAGCCTGGCCTTGGATATCGTGTCGTCGCAGTTTAACTTCAAACGAATCCTCGGCACCTACACTCACCGGGAAAGCAACTTGAGACTGTCCTAAAGGAGTCGACGGGTCTGGACGACCATTGTGCTGAGCTCGAGGGCACACTTATCAACGTCTGACCATTACGACTCAAGCAGAGGATACACAAAAGGATCCCGTAGCCACCGATTTGGACAAGCACTCGAGCTTTAGTTCCATCAGCACGGACATGGACGAACTTTCAGTTATTTGAGTGGCACCTATCGCAAGTATTCAAGAGGACGTCTCTGTCAGCAAGACGACTTTCAACGCTGTTGCAATTCTTTTCGAAGATTTTGGAGCAGACTCTGTGACGGACGTTAAGGGAAAGGAGAAACAGCTGCGACAATGAGCTAAGTCCAATGTAGCAAAAAGGAAGAGATCCGTCTTGTAGGTAACCGCTTCTCTTACACTCGTTTGTTTGCATTAACATCTGCTTATTTGCAAGATGTGATGGAGAAACTTTTCAGAGCATTTTTGGAGCTAGCCATCGTTCCTGGTATTTCTATGTTTTTCTTACATCTCACAGCGATGTCTAGTGCCCTAGTCGCGGTAGCAGGGATGGATTGGATGGATGCATTCCACGGTATTGTGATCGGGGTTGTTGCCTTGCACGGGAGCACTCTGCCCAAATCCAGTTCAGGCTCAGGCCTTCTTAGACGAAGGTACTTCGTTTTTCTTTACTGAAGTTCTATTGAAGCGAGGTGTTCGTTTCGTCCAGGATGACTTTGTCCTGGAGAAGAACAGTGGAGGAGGAGCGTTTGGATCCATCCGTCTACAAAGGATCGTTTGCGAAATCCTCAAAAGAAGGTGCGTGGGTTTTGTTCTTTGATTTTTCTCGATGACGGATTTACGATGGTTTGCTGATCCCTCTCTTTCTCTCTGGCGTTTCATATATCTTTGGTTCTAGAGAGTCAATCCGAAGGAGGAGTTTTTGCTGGTGTGGCGTTACGAAGGTGTGGCGCCTCTCGTAAACTTCATGCCTTACAATGTTAGTGAGTTTTCGGTTTCATGCAGAAAATCTCAAATCGCGACAGACAGGTTGAGAAGGCGTTGAGCTTGAAGACTACACAGCTTGCCAAAGGTGCCGAGCGAGAATTCCAGATGGAGCTATTAAAATGTTTGAGGGAGACTGGGATTCATCTTTCCGACGGTAAGCTTGTAGATATGTAGTCGTTGCTTCTTAACAGTTGGATGTTTTGCAGAGTCGAAGTCCTTCAAGATTATTGATCTCGGTCGGTGAGGACTTGCTACTTGGCATCGACTACATTCCGCAAGAGTTCCTACTGGATCCAAGGTCTGAGTTGTAATTTCTTTTCAACTTCGCGTACAGAAAGTTTCCTGACATATTTTCTTTGTTCAAGGTACGCTGCACCAGAGCTGTACGTTATGAGCACTCAGACTCCCTCCGCTCCATCGCCTGTCACTGCAACAGCACTCTCTCCAGTTCTATGGCAGGTTTATACCAGTCAATATTTTCTGTGACAGATCACGAACTTTGATCCTTACAGCTAAACCTGCCAGACCGCTACAGCCTCGGATTGATGTTCTTGCAAATGGTAAGTCCAGCTGATACATCTATCAATGGCAGGTGTTTTCGAAACTGAGAAGCGATAGTGCTCTCATCCAGTTCAATGAAGCGCATGAATCACGACTTAGTTGCGTGGAGAAACTTGGTGGACGCTCGGCGAAATCCGGGCGTTCAACGTGGCTTCGAGATTCTGGACGGAGGAGCTGGCTGGGAGCTGCTCCAAGCGATGATGCAGTTTAAAGGTCGCCAACGTATCAGTGCCTGGCCTGTCCCACAATGTCCTCGGGCACCAGCGACCACAGCTACCATCGGGTTGTCCCTGTCGAGACGGAAGTAGCGTACTCCTAGTTACGTAGACAAGGATTCAATTCAATGTGCATTCTTTCCTTTCTTTCCTGATGTAGACTGTGAGATCAAAACATGGGAAGGCCTTTGATCAAAGTCCACAATCAAACCGCTCGCAGCCAGCTCCAAGTGTAAAGTTTGCTCAGCTTGTTCAAAGTTGAGCAACATCATGCAAATGGTAGAGACGAAAGAACTAAAAGAAGAATCTTGCATGGCCTCGCAAAGCACCAGAACTTTCTTGCTTTCATTGAATGCCGCTAGACTGCCTTCAAGCTCCATTCACAGATCTTGCATCTTGGCAAGGAACTCTTCAAAGTTCTTACCTGGATGAAAACGGGTCTCACGAACGCAAGTCTCGACCATGCTGATCTTGGAGAGGGAAAGAACAGCATACTTGTGAAAATGAGCCCAGATCTCACAAGCTAAAGGCATCTGCAAGCTTAGAAAGAATCAATCCTTTTACTCAAGATTCCTTCAATCTCCAGCACAGCTTGTTCCCCAGGATCAAGCTATTGTCGAGCTGATGCAACAGAGGCACGAATTGCCTCTTCATCCACGACTTCTCCTTCCACCGAAGTTGAAACTCCAAATGCAGCAGGGGCTCACCACGTATAAGCATCTGCAGTGATCATCGGTGGTGAAACGATTTCCCAAAGTTCTTCCATCTGCAGCACGCGCATCATTTTCTCAGACAAGGTGTTGAACCCTCTCCTCCCATCAAAGGCAGTGACTCCCTGAAGCAAGATCAATCCAACTTTGCTGCAGCTCATGATGTGAGGCACAAAGAAAGGAGAAGAAAGAATTCAGAAACTGAGCTCCAATACCATGAAAGAAAAGCGGAGCAAGAACGTATGGTTGTATATATATACAACTTCAATCAAATAAAAAATCACCAGAGATCTGATCACGATTCGGACTGCTTCTGATATGAATCATCTTGCTTGTCATGTTCATCATTATTCCTACAATTACAATCCGGTTGCCATTCAGTCTTCCTCCCGGGAGAGTAATCGATCTCTCTGCAATCTGAAGCTGTCAAAACAGTGAACATTGGACTTGGTCCCAAGTCGAGCTTCCGAGCTAGTTGACGATGACTGTAGGTGACAAGGATTCGTTTAAGGTTTCGTCATGAGTCAACTTGGTTGCTCGGCTCCTCAGCTCAACTGTACATGAACTTTTATATCCCTGTGAGATGTAAGACATAGAAACACCACATTGCAAGGAAACGATGACTAGCTCCAAAATGCTCTGAAATGTTTCGAACTTTCACTGAATGTCTAACGATAGACTTAAATAGATTGTGGAGAAACTAAAATCTAGCTTTTTGATTTAGCTGAAACATTTATGTTATAATAAATAAAACTCGGACTTGAAGAGCGTTTTAGGCAAGCAGCGATGCACAGAATCTCTACACTCTTCAAGTCTAAATATTAATATTCACTCCGGTGCCTTGAGGCTCTTGAGATTTTCTGGTAAAGTATTCCCTGTTGCCTCGGCAAACTCCCTCAAGGCTTGAATGGCCTTCTCTTGCCGCACGGCATGCCGCTTGTCCTTATCAACTGTATCCACTGGTTGCAGCCTTGCCAAACCATCGCAGCAGCCTTCTAGAGCTTCACTTGGAGACTGCAGCATGTAGTCATGAAGCAGGCTGGCGTAGACAATTGCAGCGCTGCACCCCAAGAGTAGAGTGGCTTGTGCTTTCCATCCCAGCGGTGGAGCAGCCGCGGCCACAACACAAGGACCGATGTACAGCAGACACCTTGTGGTGAAGATCACGGTCATGACGAAGCAACTGGCCCCGTCGTACCAATCGTCAGGAGCCAGTTGCATTGCCGGAGTGTAGAATCCACAGAAAAATATTAGCCCCAGTGGGATCACCACCCTTGGATCTGTGCTCATTGTGGAAAGGATACCACTGATGCCTCCAACAAGAAAACCATATGTAACGGGTTTCTTTCGACCAAAGAGGAGATACAGAAGCACTGGAGGGGGAGAACTCTTGTTAGATAAGAAAAAGAGAAAAAACACAAAAGCTTACTTGTGAAGAACGTGATCACTATGAAGGCAAGGCATCCCACTTCTGCAGATAACTGAGGGGGCCAATATATGGTAGCTACATAAAATCCATATAGAGTGAAGCAGTGATTCACAAGATTCATCAAGAACTGGCGCCATATAATCCAGTGGCGTCTAAGATCCCAGGCCTTGTAGATATCACCAAGCGCATACTCACCATTTGGGCTCAACAATCCCTGCTCCATGGTAGGAAACCTAGAAATTCCAACGGCTGTTCTTTTGGCCCAGTTATATACAGTCCGATCCAATATACGATATACGATCGTATCCATATCCACATGGGCTGGATTTCGTGGTCTCTGGGCATATGACTATGTCAGCAAAACATCTAGGGGTTTCCCATCTTCTCTTTGGTCGAAAGAAAGTTATCACTCTTATTGGAGGCACTAGTGGTATATGTTCCACAATTATCACAAATCCGAAACTCGTGCCTCTATTAATGTTAATATTATTTTCTGGATTGTTTACAATAAAAGGTTCTGACGACTGGTATGATGGGGTTGGTTTGCTCAAGTTCATCTTGATCTCTATCATGAGGTAGTTGCTTTACATTGGTTCTAGTGTTGTGGCCATCACTACTCCACTGTTGGGATGGAAATTACAAGCCATTGTAGGCATGGGATCAAGCACTGCAATTGTCTATGCGGGGCTGGTTGCAGTCTCCATATGAAATTCTTGTAGATTGTTTTTGCGATGGTTTGGCGACAAGAGAGGATGCCAACAAGCTGCTTGAGGTGTGACAAGAGAAGGCTATTGAAGCTTTGAGGGAGTTTGCCGAGGCAACCGGGAATACTTTAAAATCTGAAGAGCCTCAACTTCAAGAAACTAAAGCAGAACTACAATGACGTTTGTTGAATCACATTTGTTACTTTTATAGCTTGATTAGCCATAAATGATTGCAAATTATGTAAGATAATCGGCCTTTTGACTCTGCTAAATAAGTACCACCGAAAAAAATCTACCACATGATGTAAGAAAAGAAAGTGAGTTCATGGGACGACTGCCAACTGAACATAGAAATACCAAATTTCAAATGACTAGCTCCAGACTAGTTTGCAGGGGAGCAAATCAGAGAATACCTGGATAGGCAGTGATGCGAAGAAACACAAAGAAAAGAAGCGGTTACCTCCAAGACGGATCCATGCACCAGTGTTTGTACAACCATCCTCACTAACTGACAAGCTCTGTGTTACGAAAGGGGACAATCCCCAGCAAATATGGCGAACTCCAAAATCCGCAGCCTGCGACAATGAGGTAAGTCGAATGTAGCGAAATGTAAAAAGAAACATAGACCTTCAATCAGTAAAAAGGATTGCAGCAGCTCTGCCTAGTCTTGCTGCCACAGATATCCTCTTGAATACTCGCGATATGTGACACGCAAAGAACTAAAAGTTCGTGCTCAAAAGCTCTGGAAAGTCCGAGCTAGTAAGCCTCTTGCTGGTGGGAGTTGCTTGTCAAAATCGTTGGCTACGGGATCGTTTGGTCATGCTGAGCCCTCGTGATCGTCCCTCATGGAACCAACGCCTGTGAAAGGTATTGACTGGTGCTCTTGGTTTCAGTGTTCCCTCGAGCCTGTTGAATCAGCACAATCTGGCTGTATGATCGTCGAATCATACGGTCCCAGGTCGAGTGACGATGACTGTAGGTGACAAGGATTTGTTTAAGGTTTCGTCATGAGTCAACTTGGTTGCTCGGCTCCTCTGCCACCACATGAACTTTTATATCCCTGTGAGATGTAAGACATAGAAACACCAGATTGCAAGGAACGATGACTAGCTCCAAAATGCTCTGAAAAGTTTCAAACTTTCACCTGAATGTCTACAACACTAACGATAGATTTAAATAGATTGTATACAGAGAACACTAAAATCTAGCTTTTTGATTGGCCACCACGCTAGCTGAAATAATAAATAAAACTCGGACTTGAAGAGGACGTGTAAAGAAGGCTTTCTCGGAACTGAATCTCTACACTCTTTTTAAGTCTATCAGTAGCGACAAATATTCGGTGCCTTGAGGCTCTTGAGATTTTCTGGTAAGGTATTCCCTGTTGCCTCGGCAAACTCCCTCAAGGCTTGAATGGCCTTCTCTTGTCGCAGGGCATGCCGCTTGTCCTTATCAATTGTATCCGGCCTTGCCAAACCATGGCAGCGTTCTAGAGCTTCACTTGGAGACTGCAACATGTAGTCACGAAGCAGACTGGCGTAGACAATTGCAACGCTGCATCCCAAGAGTACAGTGGCTTGTGCTTTCCATCCCAGCGGTGGAGCAGCCGTGGCCACAACACAAGAACCGATGTAAAGCAGACACCTTGTGGAGAAAATCACGGTCATGACGAACCAACTGGCCCCGTCGTACCAATCGTCAGGAGCCAGGTGTATTGCCGGAGTGTAGAATCCACAGAAAAATATTAGCCCCAGTGGGATCACCACCCTTGGATCTGTGCTCATTGTGGAAAGGATACCACTGATGCCTCCAACAAGAAAACCATATGTAACGGGTTTCTTTCGACCAAAGACGGCATACAGAAGCACTGGAGGGAGGGACCTCTTGTTAGATAATAAAAAGAGAAAAAAAACACAAAAGCTTACCTGTTAAGAACGTGATCACTATGAAGGCAAGGCATCCCACTTCTGCAGATAACTGAGGGGGCCAATATATGGTAGCTACATAAAATCCATATAGAGTGAAGCAGTGATTCACAAGATTCATCAAGAACTGGCGCCATATAATCCAGTGGCGTCTAAGATCCCAGGCCTTGTAGATATCACCAAGCGCATACTCACCATTTGGGCTCAACAATCCCTGCTCCATGGTAGGAAACCTAGAAATTCCCTTTCCCCAAACCCTCTGTTAAGAGCACCTAGACCGTTTCATCCAACGGCTGTTCTTTTGGGATATGGGATAAGATCCCAGTTATATATAGTCCGATCCAATATACGATATACGATACATGGGCTGGACTATTCCGCGATTGCTCCTCTGGCAACGTAAGCGCATTCTACGGTTCACTGGCTCGCAGTTTTGATCGCTCCCTTTTCCTCCGTTTTGCGGAGCTCAGCAGCAGAAGCTCCCGCAAGGTAAGCGCCTTGGCACTTGGCAGTGGCTCAATGGCTCATGGTTTTGATTCCCAGCTGCAAGCTTGATGGGGCCGTGTGGTCGGGTCGGGATCATCTTTTTCCCCACGAACAGGTGATCTAGTGTCCAAAGCCTCCGCAAGTCCAATGTTCACTGTTTTGACAGCTTCAGATTGCAGAGAGATCGATTACTCTCCCGGGAGGAAGACTGAATGGCAACCGGATTGTAATTGTAGGAATAATGATGAACATGACAAGCAAGATGATTCATATCAGAAGCAGTCCGAATCGTGATCAGATCTCTGGTGATTTTTTATTTGATTGAAGTTGTATATATATACAACCATACGTTCTTGCTCCGCTTTTCTTTCATGGTATTGGAGCTCAGTTTCTGAATTCTTTCTTCTCCTTTCTTTGTGCCTCACATCATGAGCTGCAGCAAAGTTGGATTGATCTTGCTTCAGGGAGTCACTGCCTTTGATGGGAGGAGAGGGTTCAACACCTTGTCTGAGAAAATGATGCACGTGCTGTAGATGGAAGAACTTTGGGAAATCGTTTCACCACCGATGATCACTGCAGATGCTTATACGTGGTGAGCCCCTGCTGCATTTGGAGTTTCAACTTCGGTGGAAGGAGAAGTCGTGGATGAAGAGGCAATTCGTGCCTCTGTTGCATCAGCTCGACAATAGCTTGATCCTGGGGAACAAGCTGTGCTGGAGATTGAAGGAATCTTGAGTAAAAGGATTGATTCGTTCTAAGCTTGCAGATGCCTTTAGCTTGTGAGATCTGGGCTCATTTTCACAAGTATGCTGTTCTTTCCCTCTCCAAGATCAGCATGGTCGAGACTTGCGTTCATGAGACCCGCATGGTCGAGACTTGCGTTCGTGAGACCCGTTTCATCCAGGTAAGAACTTTGAAGAGTTCCTTGCCAAGATGCAAGATCTGTGAATGGAGCTTGAAGGCAGTCTAGCGGCATTCAATGAAAGCAAGAAAGTTCTGGTGCTTTGCGAGGCCATGCAAGATTCTTCTTTTAGTTCTTTCGTCTCTACCATTTGCATGATGTTGCTCAACTTTGAACAAGCTGAGCAAACTTTACACTTGGAGCTGGCTGCGAGCGGTTTGATTGTGGACTTTGATCAAAGGCCTTCCCATGTTTTGATCTCACAGTCTACATCAGGAAAGAAAGGAAAGAATGCACATTGAATTGAATCCTTGTCTACGTAACTAGGAGTACGCTACTTCCGTCTCGACAGGGACAACCCGATGGTAGCTGTGGTCGCTGGTGCCCGAGGACATTGTGGGACAGGCCAGGCACTGATACGTTGGCGACCTTTAAACTGCATCATCGCTTGGAGCAGCTCCCAGCCAGCTCCTCCGTCCAGAATCTCGAAGCCACGTTGAACGCCCGGATTTCGCCGAGCGTCCACCAAGTTTCTCCACGCAACTAAGTCGTGATTCATGCGCTTCATTGAACTGGATGAGAGCACTATCGCTTCTCAGTTTCGAAAACACCTGCCATTGATAGATGTATCAGCTGGACTTACCATTTGCAAGAACATCAATCCGAGGCTGTAGCGGTCTGGCAGGTTTAGCTGTAAGGATCAAAGTTCGTGATCTGTCACAGAAAATATTGACTGGTATAAACCTGCCATAGAACTGGAGAGAGTGCTGTTGCAGTGACAGGCGATGGAGCGGAGGGAGTCTGAGTGCTCATAACGTACAGCTCTGGTGCAGCGTACCTTGAACAAAGAAAATATGTCAGGAAACTTTCTGTACGCGAAGTTGAAAAGAAATTACAACTCAGACCTTGGATCCAGTAGGAACTCTTGCGGAATGTAGTCGATGCCAAGTAGCAAGTCCTCACCGACCGAGATCAATAATCTTGAAGGACTTCGACTCTGCAAAACATCCAACTGTTAAGAAGCAACGACTACATATCTACAAGCTTACCGTCGGAAAGATGAATCCCAGTCTCCCTCAAACATTTTAATAGCTCCATCTGGAATTCTCGCTCGGCACCTTTGGCAAGCTGTGTAGTCTTCAAGCTCAACGCCTTCTCAACCTGTCTGTCGCGATTTGAGATTTTCTGCATGAAACCGAAAACTCACTAACATTGTAAGGCATGAAGTTTACGAGAGGCGCCACACCTTCGTAACGCCACACCAGCAAAAACTCCTCCTTCGGATTGACTCTCTAGAACCAAAGATATATGAAACGCCAGAGAGAAAGAGAGGGATCAGCAAACCATCGTAAATCCGTCATCGAGAAAAATCAAAGAACAAAACCCACGCACCTTCTTTTGAGGATTTCGCAAACGATCCTTTGTAGACGGATGGATCCAAACGCTCCTCCTCCACTGTTCTTCTCCAGGACAAAGTCATCCTGGACGAAACGAACACCTCGCTTCAATAGAACTTCAGTAAAGAAAAACGAAGTACCTTCGTCTAAGAAGGCCTGAGCCTGAACTGGATTTGGGCAGAGTGCTCCCGTGCAAGGCAACAACCCCGATCACAATACCGTGGAATGCATCCATCCAATCCATCCCTGCTACCGCGACTAGGGCACTAGACATCGCTGTGAGATGTAAGAAAAACATAGAAATACCAGGAACGATGGCTAGCTCCAAAAATGCTCTGAAAAGTTTCTCCATCACATCTTGCAAATAAGCAGATGTTAATGCAAACAAACGAGTGTAAGAGAAGCGGTTACCTACAAGACGGATCTCTTCCTTTTTGCTACATTGGACTTAGCTCATTGTCGCAGCTGTTTCTCCTTTCCCTTAACGTCCGTCACAGAGTCTGCTCCAAAATCTTCGAAAAGAATTGCAACAGCGTTGAAAGTCGTCTTGCTGACAGAGACGTCCTCTTGAATACTTGCGATAGGTGCCACTCAAATAACTGAAAGTTCGTCCATGTCCGTGCTGATGGAACTAAAGCTCGAGTGCTTGTCCAAATCGGTGGCTACGGGATCCTTTTGTGTATCCTCTGCTTGAGTCGTAATGGTCAGACGTTGATAAGTGTGCCCTCGAGCTCAGCACAATGGTCGTCCAGACCCGTCGACTCCTTTAGGACAGTCTCAAGTTGCTTTCCCGGTGAGTGTAGGTGCCGAGGATTCGTTTGAAGTTAAACTGCGACGACACGATATCCAAGGCCAGGCTGGTTGTCAAGCATACTCGTTGCCATGGCCGTAGTGTCAGCTTGCTCCAATCCACTGCTAATCCAAAAACACATCGTTGCATGCTGTGGAAAACAAGTCCGAGGGATCCCGATTCGAGTCCACTGGTAAAGAAAAGGAAAACCGTTCACAGCTATTTCATGAGGACCTATTTGTACTTACGCAGTGAATTTGGTTCATGTGCATCAGCCTCCATCTTTATCCGAACACGAACAGAAACTCTCGTGATCTCCAGATAATCCTGGAAACAAAGAAAACAATCGGAAGTGAATATTTTTCTCAAGAGTATTCCTTACCCGAGCCGTTATGTCTGCCTACATGGAAAAACGAATGGGCAGGCGACTACTCTACCTTCTCAGCTATGGCAAAGCCACTCGTCCACTTGACGAGCGTTCCCGATTGCTGCGACATGGACAGCAGAATGGGATAAGTAAAAACTATCCTGTAGCTTATCCATCTCCATCCGAGCTTTGACAGTTACTTGGTTTCCTCCGATTCATTTCAACAGTTTGGCCACGTTACAGAACCGATTCATGCGAGATCTTACGTGGCAGTGTGCGTCAAGACTTCGTTCGTTTTATTCTCGCGTGAACTCTACGGGACGCGTAGAGTTCCAAAAAAACGACAAGCTCTACATTCTGTAGAGAAAAAAAGTGTGACGCAAGTGAGCTGAGAAGTAAGCATGATGTCAAAGCATCCTCTCTTTCACCGAGAGGATGGAGAGGGCTCCAGCTAGCAGAGCTGCTGAAATGCTAGCAGCCTACATACAAAAGCTCATAGCTTAGTTGGAGTACGAAAGAACGAATACTTACACGCATGGCTTTCTTTTTTGCCATATGGGTGTAAGCAGCCCACAGGATGTTACATGCCGTCGCCATCAGTGGAACGAGAGGAGACCCTGTGGCTTTGCTGGTAGTGCTGATCATCGTCACCTGCATCACAAAAAGAAAACTCTCAAGAAGCCACTGCAAAAGAATACACAATCTTACAGCACGAAAGCACAAGGGCACCCCTGAAGCAAGGACAGTGGTGGCGACACCAGAAAACTCCATGACCGTGAGTTCGCAGCAGCACACTTTCTCCTTTTTGAAGTTCCCGTACAACCCGTAGAGAAAAGCGTAGTAAGCCACTGCAACAAGAAGCGGCCACACGAATGAACCACCCAGCGATAGCACAGGCCACCAGGTAACATCGCCGACAGTATGCACGGTAAACATGAGCCCTGTTACGAGCCCAAGGAAGTTCACGTTTTCGACCACCACATCTTGTTCAATTCGGCCATAGACAAACCAGCTTATGCAGTTCAAAGCTGCAAAAAAAAATTTATAAACCTTAGTGGTTGAAAGATAAAGAAAAAAAGCAATTACTCGAAGTGCCATATAAAATGGCTAGTTGAGTCCCCGGGAGTAACGCTGTTTTCGCGAGGAAAACCGGCAAGACATACAGAATTACCGATGCAAGGACAGCTGATATCTACAAAAGCAAAAACAAAAACATGAAACAAAAAAAACAAAACTTGCAAAATCACCTTGAATGCCTTTTCCATCAGCGTCTCCTGGTGGCGCTCGTCCTGGTGCTGAGCACATCAAATTCATACAAAAGAAATCAAGGTGCTTTTTACCTGGTGTCGCTCTGGCGCGTCCTGCTGGCGCTGGTGTGGTACGACGTGGTGCTGATGTGGCACAACGTGGAGCTGACGTGGCAACCACAAATGAGACAATGGGGAATAAAGAAATGCTTTACCTCGTCCTGGAGACTCGCTGTCGCGTCCGGGAGACTGGCTATCGCGTCGGAGACTACGATCAAAGGCTCCTAAACCAGAGATTGTTAAAAGTAATGGGATGCCAGGATTCTTACCTCGAGAGACGCCATTCCGCGCTTGCTCCCGGAAAACCCTAGGGAACAGTAAAAAGCTTCGATTATTCGGGCTCACACAATCTGTGTAGACTTGAATCTGGTAGCTGCTGGTCAGGCCAGGATGGATAGAGCTCAATGCTTCCTTAGATCATTTCCTGCTAGCTGCTGGTCAGGCCAGGATGGATAGAGGTCGATGCTTCCTTAGATCGTTTCTTACCTGAGCTATACCAGATGCTAGCTGGATGGTTTCCAATTTATCATCTCCAGGATGGGGTCTGGCCTTTGCCAAAAGCAGCAAGATCTGGAGCAGCTTTCCAAAAGATCTGGAAGAAAAAAGTGAACAAAAAAAAGACTTTTGAGATGATGGAACCAAACTTACAGCCCCCAGAGGATGGTGTTGAAAACGTCCATACGTTCCACTCCTTTTTCAAATCTCCAGCGTGGGTTCCAGAGCTGGACTCCTCCTGAACGAACGAGTAGACAGTTTTTTTACTAGAACTTTAGCTTTCAAAGTTTCCAAAAACTTTGATCACCTGCGCACCAATGTTCCCAAGGCCTTTTGGTTATTCGTCGTGAGTCCTAAGTGATAATCCACAGCAGGCGAAACACGGACGATAATTCAACTGCAAAGCCTAGTCTCCAGATAAGACTTTAGTCTTTTGATGTGCTTCTTGAACAAGGGATTGTCTCCCTCGGCTCAGCTCGCTCAAAAGGAAGGAAAAACTAGCATGGAAGGAACTGATGGATGTAGCGATCAAGGGAGTAAAGAGAGGAAGAAGAAAGTACCTTCTAGACGCCATGGCCGAGTTGGGCAAACTCATTGATGAACTGGAGTGATTACTGAAAGAAAAGCCGAGCAAGAACAATGGATTTCACTTCAACACACCCATTGATTCATGTATGGCTGTATATATATACAACTTCAATCAAATCAGAAATCACTAGAGATCTGATCACGATTCGGACTGCTTCTAATATAAATCGTCTTGCTTGTTGTGTTCATCATTATTCCTACACTTCCCCTTCAAGCTGAGGGTGCTTGACACTCCAAGTTGATTCCTCAGCTTGATGAATGTAAGCTCCGAAAATGGCTTGGTTAGAAGGTCTACCAACTGATATTGTGAAGGAATGTATTCCAGGTGAAGATCTCTGGCTGCTACACGTTTGCGAATGAAGTGATGCTGCACATCTATATGTTTCGTATGAGCATGAAACACAGGATTCTTTGACATGGCAATTGCACTTCTACTTTCACAATGCAGAATGGTCGCATTTGATTGCTGTTGATTGAGTTCTCCAAGTAATCGACAAAGCTAGATGATCTCCCTTGCTACTGTACTGGCAGCTACGTACTCTGCTTCTGCACTGGAAAGAGCAACTGTCATTTGCTTCTTGCTTCCCCATGAAACCGGAGCACCAGCAATTATTGTAGTGCATGTGATCATGGGATGAGATTTGGATATACTGTCACTGTGGATCCTTGAACCTTAGGGGATAAATGGGGATAAAATAGCCACTAAGGGCTCTCTCATCAAGCAATTGCCTCTTTTCAAGTTAGATTAAGGGGAGAGAGATAAAGTGCATTACAGTTAGTATCAGAACAAATGGCACGGGTTAGATTCCCATTGATTAGTGGCTACTTAAAAGTATAATATACCCTTGAGCAAGGTATATTCCTACCCCTAAATTTGAAATCATACGTATTGGGCATCCATGTGTATGTCCTTTTTCTTGTATGGCAGTAGGGGTTGTTAGTCAATAATCAATGAGGACATTGACATCTCTGAAAGGGGGGTATGATTAGTTGCCTCACATGGAATATTAGTTGCCCTTGGCTCAGTAGCGGTTGTTAGTCAATAGTCAATGATGACATTGACATCTCTGAAGGGGGGGGTGAGTGTAGTCATAGGATGAGATTTGGATATACTGTCACCGTGGATCCTTGGAACCTTGGGGGATAAATGGGGATAAAATAGCCACTAAGGGCTCTCTCATCAAGCAATTGCCTCTTTTTTAGTTGGCTTAAGGGGAGAGAGATAAGGTGCGCTACAATTATGTAAATTCCGGAGCCGTTCCTTTCAAATACCTCAAAATTCTCTTTGCCATCTATCAATGATAACAACTTGAAGACTGAATGTATCAGCTGAGGAGACCAATGGCAAAAGAGATGTCAGGGCGAGTCATGTTGGTGAGGTAGAGTAGTCCTCCAATAAGCGATTGGTAGACCAAGGGCTAATCAATAAATCATCCATCTTGCTTGTGAACTTAATGCTGGTGATGATTGGTGTAGCCATAGATTTGCAACTTGTCATGTTGAACTGGTTGAAAAGCTTCTTCAGATATTGCTCTTAAGTCCTTCATCACAAACCTGTCCATGAGCTTGATCTTCACATCCTTCAAAATAGTGTCATTGTTGCTGACAATCAAATAGTTGTCCACATAAACTGCCATCACAACAAAGTGATCACCCTACTGAAGAAGATATAGATTTCCATCGCTGTTCAACCTTTGCATACCGAGACCTGTAAGAAAAGAATCCAAACATTCATACCACTGATGGGAAGCTTATAAAGAGCTTTGCGAAGCTTGTAGACAAGTTCGGAGCACCGTGATCCAAAAAGCTCAAAGCCTAGGGGTTGTCGCATAAATATCTCCTCCTTCAAGTTCCCATTAAGGAAGGCTGTTTTTATGTCCGTGTGATGTGTGTGCAAACCAAACTCTGCTGAAAAAGCTAGAAGCATTCTGATACTTGTTTGCTTCACAATTGGTGAGAATGTCTCATCAAATTCCACTCTAGGAACTTGTGAATATCCTTGAGCAACAAGTCTTGCCTTATAACGCTGAACCAATCCATTAGGATTTCTATGAAGCTTGAACACCCAGCGTGATCCGACAACTTCATGTCCTTCAGGAGCTTCCACCAAGTCATAAGTCTGGTTCTCATCAAGAGAATTCAACTCATTTTGCATTGCTGAAATCCACTTATCTACGTTAGGAGCTTGAATCGCCTGCTCAAAGTTGACTGGTTCAGAAGCTATTTCTGTTGCTGCAAAAGACCGCTGCTTGGGATGAGGTGCTCTGCTTGATCGTTCAGATGATGTCTGCCCATAGTTCTCCATGTTGAATGGTAGATCACGTGTGAGCCTGTCGACTTCTCCAGTTCATGCACGATGAGCAGCATCACCCTGTTCTTCATGAAGAAAAGATCTAGAGACTAGTGTTGGATGGTCGTCTGTTGAAGGAAATGAGGGTATAGATGATTGTCAAATCATTGTCATCTTCATCAATGTCTTCAACACCATCCCAACTCCATTCTTCCAGAGTCCACTTCATGTTTTGATTTGAGCTTCCTTCTTCTTGAACGTGATCTTTGTAGAGTGTTCCTTCATCAAAACGAACGTCAGTGCTTACAAAAATTTGATGATTCCCAGGCTGGTACGTTTGCACAAAATGGCACGAAGTATTTTGTGATGTTTACAGATGATTTCTCCAGTCATACGAACATCTTCTTTCTTCGTCACAAAGATGAAGTCTTTAACAAATTCAAGCAATTCATAGCAGAAGCCGAAATGAAAACTGGTTAGAGGGTTGGTTGTTTACATACTGATTCAGGAGGGGAATACGTCAACAAGTCCTTTCAGCAGTTCTGTGCTGAATGAAGAATTCTTCATCAGTGCTCTTGCTCTCATACCCCTCAACAGAATGGAGTCTCTAAGTGCAAGAACAGGACAATCATGAATGCAATTCAGTGCTTCCTTCAAGAATCAAGACTACCACAATTCCTTTGGGCTGAAGCAGTTAGATCAGCTATGCACATTCAAAACCTCCTCCCCCATTCTTGCAATCCCAACAAGATCCCAGAAGAGCTTTGGACTGGTCAAAGACAATCGATGATGCATTTTAGGTGTTTTGGTTGTTTAAGCTTTGCAAAAAGGGTTGATGAGCATCTCGGCAGTCGCATGGGTCCACAAACATTTGAGTGAACGAGCTACAAGGGACGAGTGCTTTTGATCACAATAGGTTTGAAAGTACGACAAGTTTGCTTGCCAAGAATGCAAGTGTGACATTTCACTGAACTTTGAAGAATGTGGTTGTTGAAGCCATCCACAAGCTCCTACTTCTACATATGCCTGATGAGAGGGGGATTAACATGTGCAACTCGAGCATGCCAAAGAGAACTATCTGCAGTCATGCATATCTCAAGAGTGTTTGATTTTCTCCAGAAGCTATCTCCTTCTCAAACAGGTTACCACATCTGGGAAAATGCAGTAATGGACGACCATTTGCAAGAACTTGACATTGATGTTTGGAGAAATTCACATCTAGACCTTCATCTGTAAGCCTGGCTACAGAAACCAGATTCTTGGAACATACCACACATTCTTCAAGAGTAGAGACTTTCTTCCCAATGGAACTCACACATCCCCAATTGCGCGAACAAGTAAAATGCTTCCATCTCCCACACAAATGCACTTCCCTTTTGTAACACGAAACTGCACAAAGTTCGACTGGCTTTGCATCAGGTATCTCTCTGAACCTGAATTGATGGTCAGTTTTTCAGAAATGTTTGGAACTACTACCTCAGATGATGCCGCAAGTTCCTGTGTTTCCCCTTACTGAGCATTTGCTGCGAGCCCTATGTTCATGCGCTGTAGCCAAGCTGCAACTGGGCAATCCTTGGAGTAGTGTCCTGGCATCCCACAGGTCCAGCATTCCTGTTTGTTCTTGCCCATAAAACAATCTCGAACTGCTGCTTCTTTACCAGAATTCCCTGAATTCTGCTGCTGCTGCAGATTTCCCCTAAACTCGCGACCTCTGCCTCGTCCTCCTCTTCCGCAGCCTCCTCTACCTCCATAATTTCCAACCCACAAAGCTGAATCAGTCTTTGACTGATTGCTTGATGTAGAAACATTTGATGTAGACTATGAGATCAAAACATGGGAAGGCCTTTGATCAAAGTCCACAATCAAACCTCTCACAACCAGCTCCAGTGTAAAGTTTGCTCAGCTTGTTCAAAGTTGAGCAACATTATGCGAACGGTAGAGACGAAAGAACTAAAAGAAGAATCTTGCATGGCCTCGCAAAGCACTAGAACTTTCTTGCTTTCGTTGAACGCCACTAGACTGCCTTCAAACTCCATTCACAGATCTTGCATCTTGGCTAGGAACTCTTCAAAGTTCTCGCCTGGATGAAAACGGGTCTCACGAATGCAAGTCTTAACCATGCTAATCTTGGAGAGGGAAAGAACAGCATACTTGTTGTGAAAATGAGCCCAGATCTCACAAGCACTCTTATGACACAAACGCATCATAAAGGCATCTGCAAGCTTAGAAAGAATCAATCCTTTTACTCGAGATTCCTTCATCTCCAGCGCAGCTTGTTCCCCAGGATCAAGCTGTTGTCAAACTGCTGCAATAGAGGCACAAATTGCCTCTTCATCCATGACTTCTCCTTCCACCGAAGTTGAAGCTCCCAATGCAGCAGGGGCTCACCGCGTATGAGCATCTGCAGTGATTGTCAGTGGTGAAACGATTTCCCAGGGTTCTCAGCACGCGCATCATTTTCTCAGACCAAGTGTTGAACCCTCTCCTCCCATCAAAGGCAGTGACTCCCTGAAGCAAGATCAATCCAACTTTGCTGCAGCTCATGATGTGAGGCACAAAGAAAGGAGAAGAAAGAATTCAGAAACTGAGCTCCGATACCATGAAAGAAAAGTGGAGCAAGAACAACAGATTTCACTTTTGATTCATGTATGGTTGTATATATATACAACTTTAATCAAATAAAAAATCACCAGAGATCTGATCACGATTCGGACTACTTCTGATATGAATCATCTTGCTTGTCATGTTCATCATTATTCCTACAATTACAATCCAGTTGCCATTCAGTCTTTCTCCCGGGAGAGTAATCGATCTCTCTGTAGAAAACAAGGACTTGCGGAGGCTTTGGAGAGGAAAAAGATGATCCCGACCCGACCACACGGCCCCATCAAGCTTGCAGCTGGGAATCAAAACCATGAGCCATTGAGCCACTGCCAGGGCACTTACCTTGCGGGAGCTTCTGCTGCTGAGCTCCGCAAAACGGAGGGAAAGGGAGCAATCAAAACTGTGAGCTAGAAGACACCAAGGAGACTGCACCTACGAGATTTCAAGAAGATCTAACGGCTGGGTTGCGAGATCTGTCCGCTTGAAGTTCACAGTTCAAGCAAGTGTGGGCCAGTGGAAGTTTGAGCGTCTGGCATTCATCACTGGCTGAGCTTCACTTTTCTTTACCATGGCTGCAGTGAACCGTAGAATGCGCTTACGTTGCCAGAGGAGCAATCGCGGAATAGTCATATGCCCATGCTCGGCAGAGACCACTAAATCCAGCCCATGTATCGTATATCGTATATTGGATCGGACCATATATAAATGGGATCTTATCCCATATCCCAAAAGAACAGCCGTTGGATGAAACGGTCTAGGCGCGGGTTTGGGGAAAGGGAATTTCTAGGTTTCCTACCATGGAGCAGGGATTGTTGAGCCCAAATGGTGAGTATGCGCTTGGTGATATCTACAAGGCCTGGGATCTTAGACGCCACTGGATTATACGGCGCCAGTTCTTGATGAATCTTGTGAATCACTGCTTCACTCTATATGGATTTTATGTAGCTACCATATATTGGCCCCCTCAGTTATCTGCAGAAGTGGGATGCCTTGCCTTCATAGTGATCACATTCTTCACAAGTAAGCTTTTGTGTTTTTTTTTTTCTCTTTTTCTTATCTAACAAGAGGTCTCCCCCTCCAGTGCTTTTGTATCTCCTCTTTGGTCGAAAGAAACCCGTTACATATGGTTTTCTTGTTGGAGGCATCAGTGGTATCCTTTCCACAATGAGCACAGATCCAAGGGTGGTGATCCCACTGGGGCTAATATTTTTCTGTGGATTCTACACTCCGGCAATACAACTGGCTCCTGACGATTGGTACGACGGGGCCAGTTGGTTCGTCATGACCGTGATCTTCACCACAAGGTGTCTGCTGTACATCGGTTCTTGTGTTGTGGCCGCGGCTGCTCCACCGCTGGGATGGAAAGCACAAGCCACTCTACTCTTGGGGTGCAGCGCTGCAATTGTCTACGCCAGCCTGCTTCATGACTACATGCTGCAGTCTCCAAGTGAAGCTCTAGAGGGCTGCTGCGATGGTTTGGCAAGGCTGCAACCAGTGGATACAGTTGATAAGGACAAGCGGCATGCCGTGCGACAAGAGAAGGCCATTCAAGCCTTGAGGGAGTTTGCCGAGGCAACAGGGAATACTTTACCAGAAAATCTCAAGAGCCTCAAGGCACCGAAGTGAATATTAATATTTGTGGCTACTGTTAGACTTGAAGGGTGTAGACATTCAGTTCCGAGAAAGCCTTGTTTACGTCTGGTACTCATCGCTGCTTGCCTAAAATGCTTTGTAATTTTCCTCTTCAAGTCCGAGTTTTATTTATTATAACATAAATGTTTCAGCTAGCGCGGAGGCCAATCAAAAAGCTAGATTTTAGTGTTCTCCACAATCTATTTAAATCTATCGTTAGACATTCAGGTGAAAGTTCGAAACTTTTCAGAGCATTTTGGAGCTAGTCATCGTTCCTTGCAATCTGGTGTTTCTATGTCTTACATCTCACAGGGATATGTGGTGTTCATGTCACAGTTGAGCCGGGAGCAACCAAGTTGACTCATGACGAAACCTTAAACGAATCCTTGTCACCTACTTGGGACCGTATGATTCGACGATCATACAGCCAGATTGTGCTGATTCGGACAACAGGCTCGAGGGAACACTGAAACCAAGAGCACCAGTCAATACCTTTCACAAGCGTTGGTTCCATGAGGGACGAGCACGAGGGCTCAGCATGACCCCGTAGCCAACGATTTTGACAAGCAACTCCCACAAGATTACCAAGAGCATACTTAAATTTGCATCAATCAGAAGTCCTTAAATAAAAAACTCCAACTAGGCGTCAAATGGCAAAGTGATAAAAGAAGACTTTCGAAGGCGCAAGGAAGAAAAAACTTTCATAGAGTTTTTCAAAGCGATGAAGAGAAAGGTCGCGCACGATCAAACGAGAACTGGCAGCTTTTCTTATCATTCTAGACCGATCGATCTCAGTCAACTGATGATCTTGATTGGTTTGAGTGAAAGGAAATTTATAGAAAGGATCAGCTGAGTGTGCTCGCATTATTCCTCGTTGACCTCCTCAACCTGGTCAAGATAAATCACATCAGGCATGGGACGGAAACCGGCGAAGATTCAAGGACAGCGAGGTGATAGCTTTGGAGAATATCATAGGGAGAGCGATTTCAGGAAGAAGAAGGAAAAGTAGAGGGACTGCAAGCTCTCGTGGGTGCGGAGCAGCGATTCCATCTTCTTTGGGAATGAGTTTGGTGCTGTAAACTTTAGAAATTCTCTCCGTTGGCTCGCTCTTCCATGTTTTCTCTCCGGAAATGGGAGCTGTCCATGTCGCAGCAGTTGGGAACGCTCGTCAAGTGGATCAGTGGCTTTGCCATAGCTGAGAAGGTACATGGAAAAACGAATGGGCTATAACACAAGCGACTAGACATAATGGCTCGGGTAAGGAATACTCTTGAGAAAAATATTCGCTTCCGACTGTTTTCTTTGCTTCCAGGATTATCTGGAGATCATGACAGCCTCTGTTTGCGTTCTGATAAAGATGGAGCCCGATGCACATGAACCAAATTCACTGCGTAAGTACAAATAGGTCCTCATGAAATAGCTGTGAACAGTTTTCTTTTCTGTACCAGTGTTTCCACAGCATGCAAAGATGAGTTTTTGGATTAATACTGGATTGGAGCAAGCTGACACTACCGCCATGGCAACGAGTATGCTTGACAACCAGCCTGGCCTTGGATATCGCAAATGAATCCTCGGCACCTATAGACAAGGGAAAAGGCGAGGAAGCTGAACTCCCAAACGCCGCTTGCAGCTAGGTAAGTCGAATGTAGCAAAAAGGAAGAGATCCGTCTTGTCGTTTGTTTGCATTAACCACTGCTAAGATATGATGGAGAAACTTTTCGGAGCATTTTGGAGCTAGTCATCGTTCCGTGAAATCTGGTGTTTCTATGTCTTACATCTAAACGTTCACGTGGTGTTCACTACGATGGCTGTGTCGCAGTTGAGCCGGTGGCTGAGGAGCCGAGCAACCAAGTTGACTCATGACGAACCCTTGGTTGAGAGTTGATAAAAGTCGACTTGGGACTGTATGATTCGACGATCAGACAGCCAGATTGTGCTCATTCGGACAACAGGCTCGAGGGAACACTGAAACCAAGAGCACAGGGGTTGGTTCCATCAGGGACGAGCACGAGGGCTCAGCATGACCAAACGATCCCGTAGCCAACGATTTTAACAAGCAACTCCCATCAGCGAGCGGCTTACTAGCTCGGACGTGCCGGAGCTTTTGAGCACGAACTTTTAGTTCTTTGCGTGTCACATATCGCGAGATCTGTGGCAGCAAGACTATCCCTTGGCAGGATCGAAGGCAACGCTGCTGCAATCCTTTTTACTGATTGAAGGTTTATATTTATTTTTTTTACATTTCGCTACATTCGTGTCTCAGGCCCAGATTTTCTGGGGACTTTCCCTTTCGTAACACCGAGCTTGTCCGGTTGTACAAAGAATCCGTCTTGGAGGCTTTTCTTTGTGTTTCTTCGCATCACTGCCTATCCAGGTATTCTCTTATTTGCTCCCCTGCAAAATATGGTGGAAAAACTGTCTGGAGCTAGTCATCATGCCGCATTTGAAATTTGGTATTTCTATGTTCAGTTCGCAGTCGTCCCATGAACTCCACAGGGTTGCATCATGCCGTACTTTCTCAAACATTTACGCGGTAGATTTTTTCAAAGCGATTTCTTTATTTTCAAAGCTTGATAGCAGAGTCAATAGGCCGTTATCCAAGCCAAACTCACAATCTTTTATGGCTAATCAAGCTCTAAAAGTTGTAGTTCTGCTTTAGTTTCTTGAAGTTGAGGCTATTCATGTTTTCCGGTGAAGTATTCCCGGTTGCCTTGGCAAACTCCTTCAAAGCTTCAATGGCCTTCTCTTGCTGCATTGCAATCAGCTTGTCGGTATCCTCTCTTGCTGCCAAACCATCGCAAAAACAATCTACAAGAATTTCATATGGAAACTGCGACATATAGACATGAACCAGCCCCGCGTAGACAATTGCAGAGAATAATATTAGTGTGATAATTTCCAATATATGTGATAACTTTCTTTCGACCAAAGAGAAGATGGGAAACCCCTGGATGTAGGAACCTCTTGTTAGTTTCTAAAGATATAAAGGAAAACAAAGCTTACATGATAGTAAAAGTACACTGAAACCAACGCACAGGCTCAGGGAGCCAATATATCGTAGCTACAGAAAATCCATATGCACTGAAGCAGTGACTCACAAGATTCATCAAGAACTGCCGCCATATAATCCAGTGGCGACATTCCAGGCCTTGTAGATATCACCAAGAGCATACTCACCATTTGGGCTCAACAATCTCTGCTCCATAGGGTAACTTACAAACTCCTTCACATCCTCTTAAATTTGCATCAATCAAAAGTCCTTAAATAAAAAACTCCAACTCACACAGGAAGAAAAAACTTTCCTAGAGTTTTTCAAAGCGATCAAGACAAAGGTCGCGCACGAGCTTGTATCAAACGAGAACTGGCAGCTTTGCTTATCGTTCTAGACCGATCGATCTGACGCTCTCCATCTCAGTCAACTGATGATCTTGATTGGTTTGAGTGAAAGGAAATTTATGGAAAGGATCAGGTGTGCTCGCATTATTCCTCCTCAACCTGGTCAAGATAAGCACTGGGCATAAATCACATCAGGCATGGGATGGAAACCAGCGAAGATTCAAGGACAGCGAGGTGGAGAATATCGGGATTTCGAAGAAGGAAAAGAAGAGGGACTGGGTGCGGAACAGCGATTCCATCTTCTTTGGGAATGAGTTTGGTGCTGCCGCAAACTATGCCAAGCTTGGCTCGAAGGTTCATCCCTTGATCGCTAGAAGCTTTCCTGATCTATGACTTCGTTCTCTTCTTCCTTCTAAGCTAGTTTTCATTGGCTTTCAAGCGAGCTCTAAAAAAATGGGATCGATGCTCAGCCAAGACGTGGGATTCTTCGACCCGGCGAGTCTTTGATTATCTCGTTTGATCCATATCTCCACTACATATGGCAGGATCCGTCTCAGGTTTTGCAGTTGGATTCTCGTCCGTGTGGCAACTTATGCTCGTCTCTCTTGCTGTTGTTCCCGGCATCGCTCTCGCATGTGGATTGTGCACATAGGACCAAAACAGGTCCAAACTTTGATCTTCCTTCCAGAGAGTCTTATTCGAGAAGCCTTGGATTCTTACGCTCGAGCGCTGGAAACGACGGTGGAGAGTGAACATTTCTTCCAGATCTGTTGGAAACGCTGCTCCCAGTCTGGCTGCATTCAGCCAAGGCCAAGCTGCCGGATACACCATCCTGGAGATTCAAGGTCGACAGCGTCCAAGAATCATCGCGATTGACAAAGTGTGACCGATCTTCCAGGCTCTCCATCCATCCCCGCGAGAATGACCGTTGGAAGCAGCGGATATCCGGCAAGAGCTCCTCATTTCTACGATCCCAGTCAGAGCCCGGGCAGAAAAGAAAGGAAAGAATGCACATTGAATTGAATCCTTGTCTAAGTAACTAGAAGTGCGCTACTTCCGTCTCGACAGGAACAACCCGATGGTAGCTGTGGTCGCTGGTGCCCGAGGACATTGTGGGACAGGCCAGGCACTGATACGTTGACGACCTTTAAACAGCATCATCGCTTGGAGCAGCTCCTCCGTCCAGAATCTCCAAGCCACGTTGAACGCCCGGATTTCGCCGAGCCTCCACCAAGCTTCTCCACGATTCATGCGCTTCATTGAACTGGATGAGAGCACTATCGCTTCTCAATTTCGAAAACACCTGCCATTGATAGATGTATCAGCTGGACTTACCATTTGCAAGAACATCAATCCGAGGCTATAGTGGTCTGGCAGGTTTAGCTGTAAGGATCAAAGTTCGTGATTTGTCACAGAAATATTGACTGGTATATGCCTGCCATAGAACTGGAGAGAGTGCTGTTGCAGGAGTCTGAGTGCTCATAACGTACAGCTCTGGTGCAGCGTACCTTGAACATAGAAAAAATATCAGGAAACTTTCTTTACGCGAAGTTGAAAAGAAATTACAACTCAGACCTTGGATCCAGTAGGAACTCTTGCGGAAAGTCCTCACCGACCGAGATCAATAATCTTGAAGGACTTCGACTCTACAAAACATCCAACTGTTAAGAAACAATGGCTACATATCTACAAGCTTACCGTGGGAAAGATGAGGTTTTAATGAACAATCCAGTCTCCCTCAAACACTCGATCTGGTTTTCTCGCTCGCAACCTTTGGCAAGCTGTGTAGTCTTCAAGCTCAACGCCTTCTCAACCTGTTTGGCTTGTGTGGCGTTACGAAGGTGTGGCGCCTCTCGAGGATTTTCCTTACAATGTTAGTGAGTTTTCGGTTTCATGCAGAAAATCTCAAATCGCGACGGACACTCCTCCTTCGGATCGACTCTCTAGAACCAAAGATATATGAAACGCCACACACACACACACAGTCCGTCAGCACATTTTCCCGGGCATGCTCGTCGCACGCGCTGGTTCATCCAAGCCTCCACTGCTCAGCCTTCTTCACCACCACTGGAAACGACTGCGCGTTAACAAACAAGTGTTTCAAAGTGATCGAGAAAAATCAAAGAACAAAAGCCACGCACCTTCTTTTGAGGATTTCGCAAACGATCCTTTGTAGACGGATGGATCCAAACGCTCCTTCTCCAATGTTCTTCTCCAGGACAAAGTCATCCTGGACGAAACGAACACCTCGCTTCAATAGAACTTCAGTAAAGAAAAAAAGAAATACCTTCGTCTAAGAAGGCCTGAGCCTGTTTCCTATCGAATTTGGGCAGAGTGCTCCGATACACCACATCGCCACACTCCACCGTGCAAGGCAACAACCCCGATCACAATACCGTGGAATGCATCCACTATTACCGCGACTAGGGCATTGGATCGATGCCCGCCGCGCCGTCCCATCTCCCCCCGCTCGATCGGTGCCCCAAGAAGCCGCTAAGCCCCGATCTCGCGCCACAGCAAGGATCATCATGGATTTCTAGCCTAATTTCCCCTCGCGACACGTCGGACTTGCGAATTTCACGTGGCAGATGTTAACTGACGTGGTGCTGCTGATGTGGAAAACATTTTCTTTCCTTTTTTCTTTTATTACGTACGAGGGCACATCGATCGGACGGCCACGATCGGCCACTACAACTGGAAGGTTCCAGCTATTAAATGCCAGACGGTCTTTTCCAGGCGTCCGGCCGCTAGCACGTGGAGGCCTGCCATTGTTGGACTTCCCGGCAGCTTTCCCGGCGACTGAAGTGTGTGGGGGACACATGGGACAACCCTCACCGGCAAAATATTCCCGGTCGCGTTTATTTGTTTGGACGGTCCATCCAAAATTAACCGGTCCAACTGCCCGTGCGTTCCGCGACGACCGGAAAAGAGCCTGTGCCCCACCGGCACGCGGCAGTGGCCAGGGGATACTTACCCGCTGTCCCGGTCACGGTGGTGGTCCGGACGTGAGCCCGCCCCTCAAATCGAGCCTAGAGTCAAGCAAAGAAGGAAGTGTGGTGAGTGTGAGCGAGGAAGAAAAGGGGAAACTTTTAGAGAAGAGTGTGAGAGTGTGTGAGAGTGGAAGAAGAAGTGGTCTATCTTTCCCATCTAGCTCTGGTACAGTGTAGTAGTGAGAGTAGTGAGCGTGTTCTTCGGGGTGTTCTTAGCTTCTAGCAATCGTGTGGGTGTCTTCTCCAGAGCTACATTGTGATCTCGCGCTCTCAATCGCCCAGGATGAAGATGCGCAAGCACCACTGCGCGAGGCTCAAGCACGCCAAAGGCCAAATCTTCACTTGCGGGATGTTTGGGACGTGCTCCGACAGCGTCCTCAGCCCAAGAACACCGCCGCCAGCGCTGGTCATCTCCAGCCCCCTCCCTACAGCGGCGGCGGCCGCGAATCTCCCTCCCCCTCCTCCTCCGCCAGCCCCGGCCGCGGCGCCGCCCCCCAAGAGCAATGCCGCCGTTCCCGAGAAGCCCAAGGCGGCGCCGCTGGCGGAGGTGCTGGCTCTTCCGCCATCCCCGGACACGGTCGCCCAGGAGAAGATCCTCAGCCAGTGGGACTTTGGGCTCAAGCAGCAAATGGTCCAGCTGCGCGAGAGGGAGAGTGAGATGATCAAGGCGGCGGCAGCGGCGGCGGTGGCAGCGGCGGAGCCCAAGAGCGCCTCCGCTGGCAACAAGGACGATTCCTCCCCCCAAGAGGCCGGCTTCTTCAAGGAGAGGTATGTGGGTCTCGTGGACAGGGATCTCAGCCCCTTCCAATCCTCAAGAACAGCGCCACCAGCTCCAGCGGCGAATCCAGCGCCACCAGCGGCCGATCAGTCGCTCGACTCGCTCACCAAGGACACCGCCTGCGGCAGATTCGCGAAGGCCTCGCTGCGATCCCTGCGCGTGCTGGCGGAGGAATCAGATCGAAACAAGCGCGCCATCATCGCCGCCGGCGTCCCGGACAGCCTCATCGCCCTCCTCCTCTCCTCCTCCCCGGAGATCGAGAAGCGCGACATCCTCCGCGAGGCGCTGGCGCTGCTGGCGGCGCTGGCCGACGACGAGCACACCCAGGATCTCATCGCGCGCTCGCGCCTCCTCCCCGCTATCGAGTCCGACCTCCGCCGCCGCTCCACCGACGCGTGGATCCTCCTCTGCAAGCTCTCCGCCAACGAATCCGCGGTGGATCCGGCCGCCAGCTCCGGCATCCTGGGCGCCTGCGTAGCGCTGCTCAAGGATCCCTCCGCAGAGGCCAAGCTCGTCCGCCTAGCCCTAAAATCAATGCTGGGGATTTGCCTGAGCAAGCCGAATCGCATCCCAGCCGTCAAGGCCGGCGCCGTGGAGGCGCTGCTCGACACACTGGTGGATCTCCATGGCGTCGATGGTGGCGAGTTTTGCAGCAAGAGTGGGATCGTCGTCAACGTCGAGAGGGCGCTCGCGACGCTGGAGCTGCTGTGCACGAGCAGCGAGGGCCGCGCGGCGATTTGCAGCCAGCCCAACTTCATATCCGAGCTCGTCGGGCTCGTCCTCGGGGTCTCGGAGCGCGCAACCGAGTACGCCGCCGGTGTGCTCTGCGCGGTGCTGTGCGACAATCTGGGCAGCGAAGATGGTACCACCGCCGCCGCCGCCAGCTTCGCCGCTGGAGCTGCCAGGATCACTTCTAGCGCCACCTTCAATGGGCTTGGCGAGCACAGCAGCGTCCAGGAGATGGCGGTGAAAGGTGGCGCGCCCGCGCAGATGCTGCTGGTAATGCAAAGCGATTGTAGCGATCGCGCGCGGAGGAAGGCGGCCAAGCTTCTCAAGGCGCTCCACAAGTATGGGGAGAATCACAACACGATTCACAGCGACCTGGCCAGCACGATCACGTATTGATCTGATCGATCACGTATGGGTTCTCAGATTTGCATCTGGGGGACTCTTGTCTGGTGATCTCCGGGAAGATCCGGATCCGCGGTGTACAAAAACTATCCCGATCCCGATCCCACTTCCACGCTGCTGTGGAGAACGATCGAGCGAGCGAGCAAACACACGAGCAAACCAACGAACACCAAGAGGCCTGCTGTGTATATATTAGTATGAAGTTAATCAAAAACTTTCTTCTCTGAAACAACGTTGTAAGTGTTAGTAGATCCCCGATCTCGTCTCGATCGATCTTTCGGTCCACTCGAGAGATATTGCTCGGCTTGGTGTCGACAAGTCCAACAACAGGGAAAGAATGAAGTTTATAATTGCTCCCGAGGACCAAAGGAAAGGCGGGCGTGGGGAAGTCCATGCTGCTCTTGATGGAAAAGAGTGCTATTCTAGGATTAAAGAAGGCACCAACCTTTGATTGCAGCATTGCATTGTTTGTGCACCACCAACAAGGCTCACGGAGCCCTAAATAAATGGTATAGTCTATTGGAGCAAACAATTTCAAACGCTGCTCATCCATCCACGTCAATCGATCAAGAGCAAGCAAAGCAAGCAGCAGCAGCAGCACCAACTTGATGGGTGTTGTCAAGTTGTCAACAATTTGACCGAGGTTTCCCAGCTTTGAACGTGCGTGGATCGGCTTATGTGGGCTTTGAATTCTGTAATTTGGACTGATCTGGAGCTTTGAATTCTGAAAACTTGTGGCTGTTTTTGTGGTTGCAGATGGTGGCAGTAGTGCAGTGATGGTTTTCTCAATTTTATTTGAAATTGAAAATAGATACTGGAATTGAAAATGTCTTTTATTTGGATCCTTGTGATGGTCATCAAGATGTGGTTGGTTGCTTTGAGACACGGAGTATAAAATAACCCTAAAGGCCTGCATTTTTCTGCTCCCTGGAAGATGAACAGCATGTGCAATTTGATCTGTCAATTGCAGATCTTTGTGTGTGGATCATTGGTTTGTTTGGAGGCTATTTGCCCAATTTCTTGTATCATTTCCTGATTGCATGCACACATAGAGGTGCAAAAGTTGATTTATCTATATATGCCCTTTTGATCTTATCCTAGGTGGAGCATGAGATTGAAACATGCAAGCCTGATTATGGAGGGCACGAAGTTCTAAATTTTGCAAATGCACACGAATCTGACCATAAAATAATCCACTTGGCACAAACTAAAAACTCTGCATGTAAAAATGTATCATCTTACATTCATTCACTTTCAATGCTTGTTCTTTCCTCTTTGAGGTCTTATGTTGATTTAAAACATTGTAATATATTCAAGAAATTATAAGAAGATATAAATATAGTGGAATATGCTTTTTCTTTATTTTTTATATAAAATTCTTTCTTGGTAAATTGGGTGCTCAATAACCCTAAAAATATGTAATATTAATTTAGAAGCCAAAGGTATTAAAATTTGTATAAGAGACAGTGTTTTCTTTTAATTTCTAGAGCATAAGCTATATATTGGTAATTTAATATCACCTTGAATTTTTCATAAAACCTATTTAATTTTTACTTATATGCTTCAATATTTTCATAAAGTATTTAGGAGTTATAGAGAATGTCTCACATTATTTATATTGATTTATATTATGTTAAAAAAATTAAATAATATTTTATGACATATATATATATTTTATATATATATAATGTCAATATGAAATAAATGATCCTAGGATTATCACATTATTTTAGTAGTTAATTTTAGTTGGTTAAAAGTAATATTTTTGGTTTGCTTAAGCGTAGAGGAACTAGGATGGTAGTGAATATATTTAGAATATGCTTAAATATTCTAGGATAATCTATTATCTAATGGCTATTATTCATTTAGATTAATTTTGTATTTATAATTTATAAACTTTCTTAAACCTTTTCTAGTATATTCTTTTTTATTCTACCATCTAATGGTTGATATGCAATAAGATTAATCTTGTGTTTATAAATTACAAACATGCTTATAATTATAAACTTTATCTTATCAATTGAATTAATAAGTAGAAATAACATTACTATTAAGCAAATTAAACATTGCTACATGCATTGCATAGCAAATTATTTAATTTTTTTAATTCTTTTCTTTGTTTCCAAGATTGCAAGTCTCTGTCATGTCTAGAAAACATGATAGTGTTTGCAATCAGAGACCAATACACATGAATTAAATTCACTAAATCTAAAACATAAATACATTATGAAATACATAAACATTTTTTGTTTTCTTTATTACAGACTTATTTTTTAGCAGGCAAAGATCCTTAAGACTATAGGATGGGTAAACACTATGACCATGATAACAAACATGTTTGACAACCAATAGATGGTTTCTACTGTAGCAGTTAAGGTGGCATCCATTGCTGTTGACAACTCTGAAACACCTCACAAAGAGATCTTACGAGCACATGGAATATGCTGGTGGAACCTTAAACGAGGAACACTTCCAAACATTCTCCCAAGAGAACTAAATCAATAGGTACCTTTTACAGGCATGAACGAACGAGCACGACTGCTCTAGCAGAGGATACACAAATGGATCCCGTAGCCAAGGTTTGGACAAGCACTCGGGCTTTAGTTTCAGCAAGCGGACTTACTAGGTCGGACATGCTCGACCATTTGGGCACGAACTTTCAGTTCTTTGTGTGGCAGTCAACACAAGTATTCAAGAGGATATCCGTGTTAGCAATATTATCCCTTAGCAGGAGTTTGCAATCGGAGGCAACGCTGCTGCTGACTCTCTGAAAGTTTATATTTTTCTTTTTTTCGTTTTTGCTAAATTCGACTTACCCAATTGTTGCAGCTGCAAGTGAAGTTTGGAGTTTAGCTCGCTCCAGATGGCTTGTTGCTGGCCTTTATCCGTCTTGGAGGTAACCCCTTGTCATGTTTGTGTTTTCTTTGTTTCGTTTGCAGTCATCCCATAAACTCACTCTCTTACATCTCATAAGGATATCTCCAAAAGACAGCTACTTTCTTCATGCCATACTTCTCAAACGTTCACACGGTGGATGAACTATGGCTGTGTAGCAGTTGAGCCGGTGCTGTCCATTGCTGAGCAGCCAAGCTGCCAGGACTCAGGAAACAAAGAATGTTTACGAGCACACACAATGTTTAACGAATCCTCATCACCTACAGTCACCGTCAACAAGTTCAGAACCTCGACTTAGGAAAGCACTGTCTGAAAGGATTCGAGCCAGTGGTCTGGACGACTATTGTGCTGATTCGCACAACAAGCTCGAGGGAACACTTCGGCTGAACAAGGAAGCCATGCTCTCAAGAGCACCAGTCAAGACCTTTGACAGGCGCTGGCTCCATCAACAAACGAGCACTACAGCTCAAGCGGAGGATACACAAAAGGATCCCGTAGCCAATGATTTGGGCAAACACTTGAGCTTTAGTTTGGAGATGCTCGAGCTTTTCTATTCAAGAGGATAGCAAGACTATCCTTAAGCAGGAATTTGCAATCGGAGGTCCTGCAAATTGCAATCCTTTTTACTGGATCTACGAAGATTTTGGAGCAAACTCTGAAGGTTTATATTTTTCTTCATTTTTGCTACATTCGACTTATCGCAACTGCAAGCGGAGTTTGGAGTTCAGCTTACTCCAGATGGATCCAGCCTTCTGTTGCTGGGGACTTTTCCCTTTCGTAACCCGAACGGAGGTGTATTAAAGAATGGCCCACGGATCCATCTCTGATTTGCATGATATGATGGAAAAACTTTCGGGTGCATTTTGGAGCTAGTCATCGCGTCTTTACAATCTGGTATTTCTATGATTTGGGCTCACTCTCTGTTCTTACCGGGAGATTGCTACTTTCTTCATGCCGTACTTCCTCAACGTGTTAAATCGTTTTTCGGTGGATGAAGTCGACGGGGATGGCTGTGTCTGCCTTCTGACCAATGTCAAAGACGATGCACTATGCGATACGTCAGAAGCACTGGGTTGGCGATGCGCTTGCTGACAGGTATGAAAATTTGCTGGATCTTAGAGTTCATAACATTCGATCGCAGCGTAACAGCCATCGTGGGATTGCCTGACGAGGAGAAAGTGGCTGATATTTGACTCTACATTGAACGCTTGCATAATAAACGATTTGAAAATAAGAAACTCGTACCTTGGTCACACTTAATCAACTATTGGAGAGGATGGGCGTGTTGCTCAGCATGTGTAGGAGGTATGACAATACAAGTTTGTTAGAATTTGAGCTTCACTTTCTTTTAACTTTTGAAATGCTGCCACTTCGCAACTCTTTCACGCCGAAACCTATCGCAAGTTCAACCTCATCTTTTCTTCAGCGGACGTGTTTCGGGAAGAGAACGAACAACGCGTGACTTCCCTTCTAGGTGACAGCTTGAAGTGCTTTGCTGCTCGTTCACATTGTTTTGTTTTGTTTTGTTTTTTCTTTGACAGCAGTTTGTGAGCTCTTGATTTGCAGCATCAGGGGCAGTGTAAGCTGATGTCACTTCCAGTTATTTGTAATGTCCAGTCATACGATTAACGTGTTACAGGAAATGTGGACCATGGGCAGCTACATTGAGGATATTGCAGTGTCCTGTTGATTGTCGAAAACTGACTTGATCTGCTCAAGATCACCAACAGGATGGCGATATCATAATCACCACGAGGCGATTTCTACACTGGCATTCACAACGAAGAACTACGCAAAAGCTGGAAACGTCAGAGGTGATCAAACTTCTATTTTTTGAAATCTTGCCTTTTGCATCCGGCTTTTTTTTTTCGGATTCCAATTTTTACCAGCCTATATAAAAATGACTGCTGACTAGGACACTATTATTTGCTACCATCTTTAGCTGGTGAAGCGTACTAATCGCCGTTGGATGAGCTGCCGACCAACGGTCAAGATTTTAAAAATGTGCAAACGGGAATTTCTAGGAGCCCAAAGCATAATCTTGGTCCTGGGATCTTAGTCGCCACTGGATTATAATGCACCAATTTTTTATGAACCTTGTGATCACTGCTTCACTGCATATGGGTTTTATGTAGCTACCATATATCGGCAGGAAGCATAGGTTTCTTACATTCTCATTGTGCTTCTGTATTGTCTGTTTGGTCGAAAGAACGTTGTCAGATATGGTTTTCTTGTTGGAGGCATCAGTGGTATCTGTTCCACAACGAGCACAGACTCGTGGGTGCTGATTCCACTGACGGTCTGGATTTTCACTGCGGCAATGCAATTTGTTCC